AATCTGTGAACCTCTTCGGTCACCCAAGACAGTGGCTTGTTAATCAAGTCATCGACTCTCTGTCCACCAAATGGGACTGAGAGAACGTTTCCAAAGTAAGTATTGTTTTCTTGCTCCATAAGTCTCCTCCTTCCGTCCACGACGATACCGAGTTTTGAGGTCTTGCTCGGGACTGGATCTTTTGCTGTGTGTTCTGCCACGAGTTTCCATAGAAACGCGCTAAATGATTCAAGTTTTGTCCTTTTGTTGCCGTTCTTCGAGCTGCTGGCTAGAGTTTGGAGCTCTTCTAATGCATCCGCTTTAATGTAGTAGATACGGCTCGCAAGGATATTTTCTGGATTGGTAGTTTCTTTTGGAGGGGGCAAGGACGTGACAGGCATATAAATCTGGTCTATAGTTGAATCTACGATCAATGGTCGTCGTGGGTTTAGCAGAGATCTTCGAAACGATGGTACACAAGAGATTGGTACATCAGATCGTGAAATCTCGGCCCACGACAAGAGAAACATGTTCATGGAATATGCGTCCGCTCCACGATGATCAAATGTGCAGCCAACAACTATGCTTCCGCATTTCAGTTGAGTAACCTGCTCAGACAATCAAACAAAAACCGAGTTTAATTAGATATATGTTGGTTGTAATGAAGTACTGTCGTCGCTCTTTAAGCTGAAGGTGTTACCTGAATCGCTATAACTCCATGTTTCTTGATGGGAACAAGCTTGGCAATACTTTCATCAGGATCATACAGGTTAAGCTCTCGGAGCTCCACGTCAGCATCAGCTTCCACGAAATCTACACCGCGGTTGTTGCAGAGAATCTCCGGCTCGCCGGTGGGATTGGTGACGATCTCGCCGGAAAAGGCGTAGTAGGAGACGAGAGTCTCTGCCAAAGCCGTCTTGAGGGTATCATGAGCAACAGTGGTGGTAATGGTAAGTGGTTTCTTGTAGCAGAAGCAAACGCTGACGTTGAGAGGAGGAAGGAGGAGGTCGAGGTTGGAGAGAGGGAGCCAGTGGTCCTGGAGGGGGAGAGCTGCGGTGATGACTTGCTTCCTGGTGGTGGTCACGTGGAAGCCACGTGCTTGCTCTGCCGCTCCTCCCATTTGGTAGTTGTTTTCGGAGAGAATGAAGAATGTTAGTGTGTCTTGTAGGTTGTTGGGAGATGCTCTGAGAGAGACGAGAGTATTTATAACTGAGTTTAGGAGTGACTTTGGTGAAACTTTCCAACATTTCGCTGGTTTGTTGTTTTTTTTATTTCGTAACATCATTATCAAATAATACATCTTTTTTTTCTTCTGACAAAAAAATTAATACTTCAAAGAAATTCATTTATTGGTTTCGTTTACCTTCGACTCAATTATACGTATAACTATTTTTATATAAAAATCAACGATATTCTCGCGAAAGCCAGGACATTTTGGTTCGAAGTTTCAATCATTCAATAGTTTTTGACTTTTATTTTCAAACCAATCAACACAGTTTCTCTTCTCGAAATATTGTCAATCAAAGTGTTTTTGAGTATGTACAAGTAAAAAAATATACTTCCCCATATCTTTTTTACGTGATATTTCAAGTTATTACTCACATATTATTATTAATTTTTATAAAATATTAGTAAATATTATGAATTTAATCAATAAAAAAATATGATGTATAATATGATCGATCAAAAAATTATAAAATATTTTTAATATTTACATAAAAAGTTGAAAACAACACATAAAATGTAACAATTTTTTTAAAGAGAAATGACTAAAAAGAATATATATACTATCGAACTTAAACCACGGTAAACTTTGGGTTGAACTCTGTATTTGATATAAATTTGTAATAATTTATTTTGTTATTATTTAATTAAATATTTATGTAACCCGTATTTTTGTTTGATTATTTTGCAATTTATTTATAATTTATAGTTTTTCTTGTGATTTTATGTATTTAATTTTTTGATTATTTGTTTAATTATTTTTATTACCTTCAATTTTTTCCATTTTTAAACTTTTTCCAATAACAATTTAATATAATTTTTTACTATTTATAAAGTTATTTTTATTGCGTACTTCTCAACTAATATAGTAGAATTTAAAACCTTAGTGACCACATATAGCATTATTAACTACTATGTTACAAAACCCGACTATAAGACAATGGTTCTCGAATACCAATATAATCGATCGAACATGTTAGGAGATATCAGAAATACGACATGGAGTTAAATAAAAAAACTACTATTTGTGTATATATTTTTATTGTTAGATAGGTAGTTTTACCATGATCATATATACTTAAATAACTTGTTAATTAAATTTGAAAATTTATGTAAATTAGCCTAAAGGCTAAAAATTTGAGAGAAAATATTTTACTTCTAATGTTTCCTCCAAAATCTATCAGAACATATTTATAATACATGAACGAACCAATTATATTGGACCTACGTACAAATTAAATGAAATTAGTAAATTAACCCTTTTTGTTATAAATTGATTAACAACCCATATTTACTATAGAAGTTAAACAGGTCAAATTTCTATTTCGAAAAATAAACTAAATGAAGTTAGTCCTAATAATATAATTTTAAATGTGGTTAGCACAATATAGAAGAATTAAGGTTGGACGACCATACAGTACTTCTTATAATCCCATTTATTTTAAAAAGGTTATTTTTGGTTTTCTCACACACTGTCACAATGCTTATAGTCCCATTAATTAAACTTTTTTTTTTTTTTTTTAACTCATCAGTCATCACAATGTATACCATATATATCGGATAAGAATATCATACCATTGCTAGATCATACGACACTATACGTATATTGGCGATTTAGTATATTAGTGAATCCACATATTACATAAAGGTGGCTATAAGTTAAATCAAGAATTTGGTTTTTATATAGATTTATACAAAGTTCATCTCTGGTAACTAGAAATATGATGTGGTAGACTTTGATCACTGATATGAGCCCTGAGGGATAAAAACACATACTACAATCTTACGCAGATAAAGATATCGAACATATAAAAGGTATATACATCTTTCCATGGTAGGACGTAATGACTGCTTCTATGGTGGTTGCACTGTCTATCGTAAATCTGTATATTGTAATGTCAATTTGGCCATAAGTCGTCTGCCATAGAGTTTGTGTGTATCAATGTATGTCAACAAAGGATAAGGTTATGTGTTAGTGAATAATTTAACTTGGTCTATTATTTCTAGACGATGACCCCTTTTTTTTTTCGGTTTTTAATAATGTATGAGTAAACAAACGATGACCATTTCTTTGTAGATACAGTAACAAAAAATACAAGGAAATATGATAGTATAACATTAGACAATAACAAGATGCTTATATAAACTATGCATTGTCCCCCATTAATTAAAATCATATAAACGAAACAGCCTCGAGAGTTGATTGGTTGCAAGTATGGCAAGTGGCAACAAAAGATTCAATATCACAGGAAAGTAGAAGCTCGATATATAGACGTGTTTATATTATTTTTTTCTTCTTCTGAAAATGCTAATTGATTGACATTAGAAAACCCTTTGATATCATGATACGCTAATTAAGTAATTCGAACGTGAGCTCAACGTGTGGTGGTTCTGCTGCTTCATTATTTTAATGGCTTTTCTATACATTAAAATCTTAAATAAACTGAGTTTTGGATCGTGAGGTCACCGGAAAGTCACTGTCCGATCGATACTTAAGAAAAAAAAAAAAAAAAAAAAACTAAACACGTCATATAGAATCTGATAAGTATAATATAGACAGAAGACCAAGAATCATCTCCTTGCTAATTCGATTGGTATATTCATTTTATTTTTTAAGAAAAACGAAATGCTACTTTAATTGGAAATCGATGATTCTCTGCCCCCAATGGGATAATGGATACGTGACATATCGATTCCTCAACCAATAAGCTCTATTCATCAGAGTTAACTAATAAGTCACATCCAACGTAACTCCCTCCGCATTCTTTTTTACCGTTTCTGGTAAGAATTAAGAAACCACCACACAAATTTAAAATAAAAAAAATTACACAAATGTGTATCTCTTTAGTAACGCAAACGATGACATGCATGTTCAAAATATCATTCAACGTAGTTATATATATATATATATCTGTTTTTTTTTTTTTTGGTAGCACCACCACCATGCCTAGTGGTAATATCAAAGTGAACCCAAAATCAAACAAAATCATCATTAGTGGAGTGAAACTTAAACATACAAATTGCAAATTCAAAGTCTTTAATATTAGCTCTACCGGAAACCATCATATATTTATATTTATCATTTTCACATTTTTGGATCAGTTGGTCAAATTGGTTGAACCATGGATTATTATTATATACTGTATATATATTTTTTTTTTAAAAGGCAAATAGCCTATTACGTTGCAGACTACTAGAAGTTTTTTGCGCAAAACGTTTTTTTATTTTTTTTCTTGATTCTGAATATGAACATACAGAGAAGTTATTGGTGCATTGATTCATTTAAGTAGATAAGATATGGATGCTGACAAAAGAAAATGAATATTCTACGGAGAAGAATGTCTACGATAAGTTGTAAACCCATTATAGTTTTAGGTTTCACCAAACAAAAAAAAAAAAAAAAAAAAAGTTGTAAGCCAAAAATTGTCAATCCCCAGAGATATTTTTGTGTTTTATCATAATTGTACCCCTGTCGATTTGGTGCATAGGTCTTCATTGTGATAACAGTTCAGCTAATTAATAAAATATTTTAATGGGTTAAAAACCAAAAAACGTTGTGAGCCCATTACGCCATATTACTACTCATTCGGGCTTAATTTACTATCCACTGGGCCTTCATTTATTATCCATGGGGCCTTAATTAACTACCTATGGGGCCTTGATTTACTACCCATTTTGGGGCTTAATTTACTACCCACTGGGTCTTGATTTAGTACCCACTGGGTCTTAACTTCATTATCCATTGCCATGTCATAACGAAGAAACAAGACACGTTCTCTCTTCCCATGTATCGATGATTCGCGAGAGAAGTCTCTCAAACTCTGTGTTATTTATCAGAGACTGCAAATGGATCGTATAAATTGATATTATTTAGCGTGTTTAAATCAACTAATCAAAATCTGAAGATATATATATTATATATGATGAGTTTCATCCTCCTCTTGTTTCTTCCTTGTGCATCATTGTTGTTGGTTCTATTATATCTCTGTTTCAGGGTCCATAGTCACCATCTCCGATCAAATTGCAAATATCCGAACATTCCACTAAGCTACAAACAAGAATCAGCAACTCATCTTCTGTTAAGATCCATGCCAAAGCAACACAATCTGTTTATATCTCTATAAGAAAAAAGAAAGAAGCTATATGTACCAGTAATTACGGCTACGAAATCCTTGCTTGAATACCACTAATGGCCTTTCAATTTGAAGATATAGAAAACATCAGTGAGTGATGAAAGAATATGATCAGAGAGAGAGAGAGAGAGAGAGAGAGAGAGACCTTCTGATATTGATGGGTCCTTCGCCGTCTCCGCTGCGAATACAAGTGTTGACGCATTTGACGGTACATTTCTCTGCGTTTTTGGATTTGGGCCGTTGAATCCTCTGTTTCTTGCAGTCTTCCCCTGATAGCGTTTGCGGCACGTTGGACAGCGTTTCCCCGTCTTGCGGCGGCGGAGGAAGCTCTGCTGAAGCTACAGACACGGATGCTATCACAACCGCCGCAGCTATGGCACCGATCGCCGCCGTGGATATACGAAGAACCGCCGCCGATCTAGTGACCAAGCGGCTCTGACACTGAGTTGTTCTACCTTTACTGGTCAAGCAATTCGTCCGATAGAGAGAAGGAAACGGACAGTTTATGATCATTACTCTTTTTATCGATTTCTTTTTTATACTTTTTTTTAGCTTCTTGCAGTTTTCTCATCATCCTCAGAATCTCTTACTTCCTCCTCTAGACAAGAACATTAATCCCAGTGAGCGGTTCTTGTTCAAGACTCTATCTTCTTTACACACGTGTCACTATCTGGTGGCTTTTTAGTTTTATATACACTTCTCTCAAACTTAGCCTGAATCTTAAGCTTACGTGGCTTTGAGATTCGTCTCTAATCACATTTTTATTTTCTCGAGACAGTAAAGTCACAAACACTTCACTCCAATTATAGAAAATTAATGAAATATCTAAATTATTATGATTAAAAAAATACGTGTGAATACAACAACTTCATCAAAATAAATAACCCAAAAAAAAAAAAGAAAAGAGTGGAAGAGATTCAAAGGACAAGACTCTCTCTCTCTCTCTCTTTTTTTTTTATCTCCCTTTGCTTACAAAAATAAACACGTTAAACGTACTGTATATGTTACACTCTTGCCATTCCCAAAATCAGAAATGGCAATTTTACAAAAATACAATAAATTACCAAAAAAAAAAGTGAGTGTGTGCGTGTGTATGTATAGAATCAGAAGATCACCCAACCAAACCACATCAAACCTGAAGAAGACTGGCTTTCCTCTTCTTCTTCCCTCCTCCTGCCTCTTCTGATAGATCTTCTGAAAGACGCATTCTTCGTTTTAAGCTCACGTGTTAATCCCTGACAGGTGACTGTTAAACACCATATCTAAGCTAATTTCACAATCAGTTTCTCTCTCTCTAACTGGCTTTTCTTCTTCTTCTTCCAAAAAGGCGTATGAAGATTTTTTTGGCTCTATATCTTTCTTGTTGTTACCTTTAAGGGAAAAGGGTGAAGGTTTTTTGCTACTTTGATTATGGTCTTTCTAAATGTACAACTTTTGATTAACCTGAGCCCCCAGCAACTTCTGCAGCTCTTTGTCTCATCATTTCCATTACAGCTGCTCTACGCCGTGAATCTGATTGCTGCTGTAATCTTCTCAGATGCTCCTTCAGGTCCCTGAACAGAAAGATATTCACAATGAGCATTAACACAAAAATCACATGGACTAGAAAGTCTCAAATGAAAGGCTGATGTCATTTCATGAACCATCATAACATTTGTTTACCTGCAACGAGGTACATGGCACTCGGATTCCTTGCAGGCCCGAGCGTGGAGTTGCAGTAGATACCACATTTTCTTGCACAGAACACAACCTCCCGACGCACGTACTTTGCACTGTATACCATGTCGAAATAGCCCCTTCACTTTCCGGCAATTAGGATATTGACAATGTGGCGAACGACATTGTGATGCATGTACCAGAAGATCGAGCATTTTCCTAAGCTGCAAATCCAAAAGGATAGAAAAAAAGAGAATGTTACTTTTTACAGAGAAAATTCAGGACCAAGAGAGAAGCACCACAAGCATTAAAAAGGGCCAGAAGAATAATATACCTGCAAGACTCGCAATTGCCTCGCTTCTTTGTTTTGAGCATTTTGATCAGCTAAAGATGGATGATTAGTCAACTTGTGAGGGTGATTAACTCCACCATCTCTACTGTAACAGGAATTGCACACATCGTAGTCTGGACATACTTCGCAGCGCCAGCCTTGACCAGTTTCAATGTCAAGATGACACGCATTGCAGGTCGTGACAAAGGCAGGAGCGGTTGGGTTATGTAGATGGTAAAGAACCATCATCGACGAATGCTTTGCCCGCCTCAATGTGTCATACTGATAATGGTTCCCTTGACAAAGACTCAGAAAAGCTTGCCTAGTGTCGAAAAACTCGCTTTCGAGTATCTCATCTTTGTCCCTCGTATCTGAAGGAATCTCCGTAATTTCGACCTGCAAAATCAATAGACAAACATTCATAAATCTGATAACAGACAAAGCTAAGGGAAAATATCTACAAGCAAATGCAACTCACAGGATACAACGCATGCTTATCCTTAAAATTAACAGGATGCCTTTCCCTGTCTTCACGTCTCTGCTCAGCCTCATAACACCTGAGAAGCGGAATAACATTTTAGATTGCAGAGAACTTAATCAATGAAAAGGACACATAGCCCATCCAAAAAAAGTATAGGTGGGATCTATACAATATTATTTGCAGTGCAACAAAGAAAGGATTATAAGAATACACAGGACGAATAATTACTTATCACAAATCTGGAAGTGTTTGCATTGGCTGCAGACCCAACGATTTCCAGATACCATCAGTATACAGCAATGTGTGCAAGATGGCTGCAAGTGAACCATGATAAAGTCCTCCTTCATTGGGTGAATTGTCTCACCGAGCTGGAAAAAAGGTAAATATCATCAACAAGAAAACTAATGAAAAAAAACAATACAAGGTAACTTATGCATAGAAAGAAAATATTACTTTATGCATTAGCAGCAGGTCCTTGGACGCATTCCCAGATAGATCAGTCTGCCCAGAAGCTTTTAGCGCCCTTTTGGTAATGGTTTTCTTGAGCATTCCTTTCTTATTTCCCTTTCTGCCATCTTCTTCTTGACTCATTTGGTATATAAGATCCTCCGCTGCACCTGGCCAGTAGTCACCATCGAAATACGGGAGCCTGGCTGCTGTAACCTTAGCTCTACATTCACCAGTTTGCATAAAAAAATGGTCATACAGATTTATAGTTTCTGCAACAATGCCCTCTTTTGAAGCTTTTCTCAACATTGCTAAGTACCTGCGAATAACAAGATGAGCAGTTGGGTGATGTAAATATCATATGGAAACATACAAAGTTCATCCCAAAAAAGTAACTGAACTCACCACTCTCGTAGTTTATCAGATTTTGGCGTCTTCTGAATTTCTGGATGACAATATAAGATATAGTCTTCGCCTTTCAGCGGTGGACAAGCCCATATGTAGCAGCTCGTGAAACCACGCAACTTGCAGTATTCTAAGTAACCGATCTAACAACAGATTAAATTATATTTCGTTAGATCTTCCATATAGTTTTCAAAATAAAATACAGCAATGTTTGAGAGGACTAGGACTTACCAGAATTTCGTGGTAAACAAAAGTACGCAGAGCCTCTCCGTTATAAGATCTAACCTCAGGTCTGAAGTACTTGACAGAATCCAAATACGAGAGATAAACTCGGCGTTGATTAGGAAATGCGCATTCAGAACCAAATTCTTGGACGTACATCCCAAATAAGCATACTTCTACACCTTCAATCTTTTGGAACAACAGAACTACCTGGGAAAATAAAAAGACGTGGAGAGTGAGAAGGATTTCCTTAAGAGACTGAACTCCGAAAAATAACACATATATGCAGAAAACACAACTACAAATGGTAATTATCCTGTTGGACTTTTACGCAAATTCTTACTTTAGACTTGTACGCAAATTCTGTTGGGTAATTATCCTCCCGAAAAATTTCAAGAAATCGAGGTTTGACTTCCAGCTTCTTGTCAACAGATGAAACAACTCTAATCACAAGGGACTCCGCAGTAGGAATCTGTCAGTATCAAGTCAAAGAAAAAACAATGTCAGCTTCAATCTACTGTTTCCAACAAAGCAGTAAAGCATACAAATAGAAAAGGTAAAAAATAAATAAGACAGATGCGAAATACATGAAAGACATAAAACCTTAACAAACTCCACCACTAGATTTACCTCATCAAAACTTTTTCCTTGAGCCCTGGCTCTGTCAGTTCTTTCCTGCTTCAGCCTCTTAAACAACCGCTGCTCTATATGGTCACTGAGAATTGTTCGTGGAAGGTCTTTAGCTCCAAGAACAGCACTCTGAGGTAAAGGCTTCCTCTTACTTTGCTCCACTTCTGCTATAAAGCAATATGGACAGGTATACTCAGCCTGCCCTCCGTCATTCCTACGCCCATTAAATAAAGCACATATCTGATGTTGCCATGCCTCACATTTATCACATTGGACCCACTGCAAAAATCATAGATACAAACAGAAAACAGCATGAATTTGAAATCCATATAAAAATGGAAGACAAACACTAAACAAGCCTACAGAGAGGAAGAGTCTTTTACCCATTCTTCAGTCTCTTCATCATTTTTCTTTTTCTCGAGTCGTGCCTTAGGTATAGGCGTCCCTTCAGCGAGTATAGTGTCCCCACGGGATTCGTTATAACATGGGATACAAAAGTAATGACGAGTGTCACCAGCTCCTACGGTGTAATACATAGCATTTCTCTTGATGCGGGCACCACACGGGGTACAATAGATAGGTGGGGGCTCAAAGGTAAGCTTTTCCACTGCACATAGTTGGCAGGAATTCTCACTCATTGAATGCTCCATTGCCTGATTTTTTTCTGCTTTCGCTTTACTCTGCAAGCACATGATAGACAACAGATTCATTAATATATGAATATTCAAAAATTATTTGCAAGCTGTTTAACGGAATGGCTCAATTAAGCCTCAAACTGCACATGAATCATCTAGTACTTATAAGAAGGGTAAACTAATCAAAGAAGCCACATATAAAGAGATTGCTACCAGTTAGTCGTGTTATTGTTTAAACATCTTAAGTTAAGAAATCACAAACCTGGCCAACCCACTGACGGAGACCACGAATATGTTCTCTCACTTGTTCAGGAGTGAACAATTCAGTTAATGAAACACCCTTTATCTCTGGTTTTCCAGATTTTGATGTATGTTCAGTAGGCTCTGGCAGATTTTCTTTCTTAAGCAGCTCAGGTTCTTTCTCGATTTTGCTATTCTCTTGCCGAGGTGAGGCATCAGACAAATCTTGTTTAACAGATTCACTGACAGGCCTTTGCTTGGGAATTTTTTCAGCAATTCCAATTTTCGTATCTTTGAAACCGGTTCGTGTCTGGACAGAAACTTCAGAAACCTCAGCTTTCACTTCGAAATACTTCGAAGGTGCACGTACATCACTGTGCTTATGATCTTTTCTTTCAACATAATGAGATGACTGGGCTTCTGATATGGAAACAACTGAGCTCTTACAACTTTCTGTCTCAATTTCCACAGGTTGAGAAGACTGCTCCACCTTCAACCGTTTTAATGAAGGTTGCAGATGATCTGAAATATCAGTACCAGGCGAAGCACAGGATATTGCTCCAGCAGAGGTCTGTACTGCATCATTTGACACTCCACCTCCATTCACTGGCCTGGCTGCATCGGTTTCATTTTTTAAACGGGCAAGGGACCGTGCATTTGCCTGCTGCTGTAGGTAGGCTTTCACAGGAATACAGACGGGACAGTTAGATTCCTTACAATTTCGATGGTGGTTAATCAATGTCTTTGTTGGGCGGCAACGAGGATATGAACATTGAGTTGCAGCACAACTATCCATATGTTTCCAGAGCTTCTGAACCGTAACACAATTCCGGTCAGGACACTTCCCTTCAGGCGCTTTGCAGTTGCGAGCATGGCGTAGAAACAGTAGCCATTTCTGTTGATTTCTGAATCTTGGATCTTGGTTTCCGTTTCCATATCTACACGTGGTAGCAGCAGGATTTTGGGGATTAGGGGATTCTGATGTAGTGGAAATATGATTTGGATCTATAATTGATCCCCCAGACATATTATTGGGCTGAGCTTCATCCGTTCCTGACATTCTTTGACGAAAGTCCTCCTGAATGTGCCGTTCGTTTGACATACTATTAGATATTTGGGTATGCTCCTGTGATTGAGATTGCCAGTGACCACGCAGCCCAGATTCTGATTTCACTCCAACAGGGAGGTTGCTAAAACCGTTAATAGATTCAGAAGCCATACTCTGCGGGTGTAACATCTGCTGTATCTGTTGGCTATTTTGAGGAACTGATGTGCACATATCACTCTGAGTTGTGACAGGGAGAATCTGAGAACCGGCATGACGGTCTTCTGCATTGTTCTGATATTGATTCTGAAACTGAGAAAGCTGGAATTGCTCAGGAGTCTGGGAGTGGATAGACTCACTAGGGTTCTCAATTCCAGGTTCATGTTTGACATGTGTAACCAAGTCAGAAGCCACACGATTTTGCAAAAATGCATCATGACTTATAAATCTCTGCTGCTGCTGGCTCTGCTGCTTTAATTGCCGTTGATGAAGAAACTGTTGCTGCTGTTGGTGAAATTGATTAGGTTGTTGCTGAAACCGATTAGGCTGTTGCTGAAACTGCTGCTGTTGATGTGTCTGCAAAAAAAAATGTACGAGAAAGATTACAAATCCGTATTCTAGATTGACAAATAGATTGATATTTTACTGGTGCACCTTGTTATAGGCAAAGTAACGGTCATTGATTGCTTACCAAAGAAGAGCTAGTTCTAGAAACAGACTGAAAACTTGCTGTATTGGCATTCTGAGAATTAGTCATCATCCCAACAGATGTCACGGCACCATACAAATTTCCCGATCCAAAAGGGTCAGAATTGTTTGTGCCAAATCCTTCACCTGAAAAGGTAAAATAACCAAAAAAATAGTTAAATATTCTGATGGACAGGCGTAATCACAAGAGGTTACAATGCATATGAAACAAGAAAAGTAGAAAAAGGATGGGAAATAAAGAATTTACCCTGCATCCCTGAACGCTGAAGGTTATCATACGTCTGCTGTGAACTTCTGGTGGAATTGGTGAACGATGTACCTGAATCTATGCTTTTTGCATTCATCCCAACACCACCATTTATGGAGCTGTTAGACACATTAGACATTTTTTGTTGCATTCCAGGTCTAAGGCTAACACCCATTTGACTTCCATGGTTCTGTAGCATACGACTATTTTGGCCACCAATATCCTGCCTCAGTTGCTGTTGCTGTTGCTGCTGCTGATGCTGATGCTGAGGTACCATCATGGGCGCAGCAGAAAATCCACCACTATTGTTAGAAGCTTCAACACTCAGATAAGACTGGCCGTTATTGATATTGTTATTAGTGACAAATCCAGGGGTAGGCATCATTTGGCCAGTATTTCTTTGAGAGCTCATAGATGACATGTTCCCTCCAGAACCAAGACCAAAGTTACTCGACGAATGCTGGTATCCATTAGACAGATTACCTGCAAAGACGAAGTCAAGGTGTTCAGAGGAAATATGAGTAATAAATATTGTGGCCATATCTTATATATAAGTTGTAAAGAAATAACCTCCGAGCATACCACCAGAATTTAGCAGGTTTCCAGTGTTCATAGCAGTAGTTGAGATGTTACTACTTCCAGCCATGCTGGCATCAACAGAGGATGTAATCATCAAATTTGGATTCCCCCCACTGTGCTGTAACCCTGGAGTGGGTATCATTGTTCCAACCGAAGATGAATTAGAATGTCGCTGATTGTAGTTATTTAACTGTCTGCCTTTGATTAGACTTGCCAGTCGAGGCTCGAGGGTTGACTGGTTCATGTAATCTTCCTGCAATACAAATGGAAAATGTCACACGTTAAAAAAAAAAATAATAATAAGTTAGGAAATTAGCCAACATGCTGGATCAAGTGACAACATTTAGATGCCAATTAAATACCTTTGTGTTAGCAACTTTAAACAACCCCTCCTCTAAACGTCTAGCAACGTCCATATATTTTGCCTTTGATGCATCATCAGCTGGAGATGGTTGTTTTTGCTGTAAGATGTTGAAACTGAAGAGGAAGAATAGACGTACACAAATTCGATTAGTGATAAACAAGGAAAGATTCAATCCGATTTTTTTAAAAAATATAGTCAACAACGAGCCAAAAGAAAAAAAAGAAACTTTTTCAAATGAAGACACACCTAACAAACATGCGATATAACAAGAGTAAAGCGCATAGACTGTCAAATTGGAATACACCAAAAGTAAATAGCTTGAGAAAATTAAAAAAAAAAACTTACATCCTGATTCGCATGGCCTGTCGAAGTTTCAAGATGTCACTGTCAACGGGAGAAACACGTGAAGGTCCTAAACCAGCAGGAGGAGGAGCTGCACCACCACCAACTAAATTCTGCATCTGAGGGTTCCCATTCTGCTGCGACATGGTTCCTTGGTTTGGAACTTGCCCAGACATGTGTGCCTGAACATTCATGGTTATATCTTGAGTCTTCGTCGCCTTGTCCTAGTTCTTCTCGTAACTAACAGTAACAAGCACTGCATAACTTTCCCCTCCTCCAGAAGTCTCCAAATTTCATCTCCTGATTAGCACTGTTGAATGTCCTGCTAAACAACTTGGTTTACTCAGAGAACTGAAATTGATTGATCCAATCCAGTTGGGACAGTATCAACAAACTGAGATAAACTAGGGAATAAGGTAAACATAAGCAATTAAACCCCAAGTGGCCAAGGTAATCGAAGAAATATCAAAAAGTGAAAAAAAACCCTAAAATTTCACCCCCACCCTTTGAATTGAGACCCAAAGGTGCAAAATTTCTCAAGAAAGAGCAGAACCCAGAGAGAAATTCACGGAGACCAACCGGTTGCTAGTGATTTACGATGATCGAGTGTGCGCAATGAAACAAAGTCGGTGAACAGCCGATGCGGCACGTGTGAACTCAAACCAAGGCAAGGTTAGAAATTTAGGATGGTAGACAAATCCCAGAAAGGAAGATGAATAATTAAAAGCGAATCAATTCAGGTTTTCCCAAATCGGGGGATTTTTTCTGGGCTTAGAGGTTCGTCGAATTGGGGATTTTTCTTTTGGACTCGCTCGATTTGGGGATTTTGATTTTTTTTTTTTTCTTTCCTTTCTAAGGGTTCGTTGTTTTTCTAAAATAGTAACCCAAAAAAAAATCACATTAAAATATTAATTTTGCTGTCTGAATACGATAATTGGCGCAACCAAAAGGCAAAAAAATGAAAAATTCGAGCACCAATATGTTTAGATCGGACAATTTAGGATAAACTACGCTTATGAAAACCAAAAGACAAGAAGATCATCCTGTCCGTCCGATCAAATATTTCTTAATTTACAGCTTTACCCTTGTATGTTATCAGCTTTCAGTGTTTTGACCAATAAATGCTCTCTTCTTCCAAACCAGAGAAAAAAAACCAAACCCTTAACCGGAACTCATGTCGAAACAAAGTCATCGGTCGGTACAAAGTACAAACAATTCAATTACACGGAACAAAAGCTGAATTACATAAGAGTTTTCACACAGATATGATCTCAGCTTTATTTCTAACTGAAGCAACGAAAATGTTCTCCCGGGGAAATAAACTTGAAGCAAAGACTTGTAGAATGGTTCATCGGTAGAGACTCTCAGACCTCAGATTCTCAGCAATCTCAGTCTCCCATCGATCTCCATTCTCCAGAAGTTTCTCTTTGTCATAGAGAAGTTCCTATGGAAGGGAACGTAACAGAAGTTCAGATTATGAATGCCACAAGATTTTTAGGTCTAGAAAATGTGATAATCAGACCTCATGTGTCTCGGTTGCAAATTCAAAGTTAGGTCCTTCGACAATAGCATCAACAGGGCAAGCTTCTTGGCAGAAACCACAGTAGATGCATTTTGTCATGTCGATATCGTACCTGTACAGCACCAAATCATCACAAAAGCGTAAAAAAAGAAAGCATATGGTTGATAACTGAGAACTAACAGGATGATGACCTTGTGGTTCTGCGGCTACCATCCTCCCTCTCCTCGGCCTCTATTGTAATCGCTTGTGCTGGACATACCTGATGAAATAGACAAGTATCCCTCACAAAAATCACAATCCGAGGTAAATTTTTATACATTAAACAGATCCTTGTTGGCGGATATGAGCATTTCATCAGAATTCTAGCGACTCAATAGTAAATCTTACTCATACTCAAATAATTTTCCTAGTTACTAGGATAAATTTCTTAGGCATCAACCTGTAATACTGAGCTACGGCCCATATCAGAATAACACAGCATAATGGGTTAACAACCTTATTTGATAGATGCAGGCATACCCATTATCCGGAGATGCCTAGCTTTAGAAACAAATAGAATCGTTAATTAAATTAAGGCTTAGTATAACTCTCAAAACTCACAGCTTCACAAAGTTTGCAGGCAATGCAACGTTCTTCCCCAGTAGGATATCTTCGAAGAGCATGTTCACCACGGAAGCGAGGGCTCAGTGGACCCTTCTCAAATGGATAATTGATCTGCATACAAGACAGGGCTTCAGAATCAAACAGATTCATTACAATCTATGTTGTGAAGAATGGGAAAGACGTCACTCACAGTAACTTTAGGATCAAAGAAGTACTTGAGGGTCAGCGACAAACCGCGGACCATTTCAGTGAGAAACAGGGTATTTATGCTCCGTTCAAAGACTAAAAAGTTGCAAAATATCAGGAATCCCTAATACTCAGGTAAGAAATGGAAAGGCAAAGAAAAGTATGAGAGATAAAAAAAAGAGAGTGTCTAGATCAACTGGCTTACCAGTATTCCAGTCCTTGGAGATTTCCTTAGAAAGTTGCTCCGCTTCTTCATCATCTGAATATAAAATAGGCAAACCATAAGTCATAAACGAATCCGAGACATGGTAATACAAGTTGAAAAGGGGTAGTTTCAACCTGGATCACCAAAAAAACCTCAAACAAGAGCAGAAACTATACCTTTGTTACTACCGTAGGAAATACAACGAGACTGCAATCCAGAAAGATGAGAGCCCTGCAAAGCTTTCCCGGAAAAAACCTATCGATGAAGAGAAGTAATAAGAGAGGTATCCATAGGAAGCTGATGAAACGATTTAATATTTTATCACAAGGGAAATATATTAACTTGCAAAAACGCTCTCAATCACAGGAAAAAAAAAAAGATTATCGAGACTGGCATGACAATGGTAACCCATAAGAGAAACGAATCCCTCAAGATTAAATTAGCCTACATGATTCAGCAATCGTTCAGGCGGATAATATTTTATTTGCTCCCTCAAAATTCTGTTCGCACTCTACAATCTAGGAATTACAATTTCGATCACGAATCTTATTAACACAAAGCAAAAGACAGATCAGAGTAAATAGATTCTTCTATGATTCCAGAAACTCCAGGAGACATTTCTAGGCATCTCTAAACAGCTCCAAATAAAACGACCGAGATCAGAGAAATGCAAAAGAGCAAACGAGATTCATACAAGATGTCGAGTACGGAGAGTACTCAGTGACCTGCGAGCCAGCATCGACGCCATTGATGGAGCACCCACGGTCCTTCCTTCCTTCTTCACTGCGATTTCACGACCAAATTATGAAATCAATAAGAGCCCTAAAATCCCAATTTTGGTCCTGAATTTAATTACATTTTTGTCCCTGGTACAATAGTTATTGGTTTTCTGACCCAGTTATATAACCGGATAATATATTAACCGAATCATTCCCTTAACCGATAAAACCTGAGGGTTACATATAATAATAATAACTGAAGTTGTTACACTTCTTCATCACACCATTGGTGATGGAAAATTCTTTACAAAGAGATCCTGAAATATTTCAACTGAAGTTGTTGGATCGTTGTTTTGGTGCAATGTAGTAAGAGTCTCCACAATTTATGTGAGATTGCATCAATGGATTCCATCTATCGAAAATTATCCGGCCACCACGCCCAATCCTCCCCTGAAACCGGCTTGGCGTTTGGCCCAGTGATGAATCTGGTGCTGGAGGAACAATCCCCGCAGCTGCCAATTTATCGGGAACCAGGGGTTTTGTGAACAGCATAACCGGTTCATTAGGATCCTGAGGAGATTACAAAAATAAAACCATTACTGATTATTAAGTTATGAATTTTAGTAATTAGGAAGAGAGAATGTGTTGTAAGACAAAGGTTTAACCAGTCTGTGAAGCCATCCGTGATGTGACTGTCGTCTTCTAACTTCTTGCTTGATGCCTCCCGCTTGAGATGCATTCAGATTTAAGTTGGTGAATCGAGAATTAGGGATAACGGCAGGTCGAGTTCGTACACGGGTACTAGTGTAATCATCTGAGTCCATCAACTCATCGTCGCTTGACCCAAATTTGTATGATGTTGTAGTGGGTGGAAATCCAGGCAGAGCCAAGCTTTCTTCCAAGAGCTCTGTTTCATGCTGCAAAAAAAATTGATTTTACATATAATCTGAGTATATAAAAACCTTTTATGGTGTCAAACCTATAGATGAAGTTTTTTAGACCCCGAAAGGCAATAAAAAGACAGTATATTTAACAAAAGTTTTAGAGGAAGTAGGAGCAAGTACCCTTAATTGGAGTTGGATTCTCTGAAGGCTAACCTCACTGTCCATAACATCCCTCTTCTTCTCTTCTCTCTACGGAATGGGTACCATCAAATTAGCAACTTTGAAGAATGCAAACAACTTGTTAAGATATGAAATGAAGTTACATACAAGTCATATCAATTTTAAAAACTGTCATAAGAACACCTTTATAAGAGCCTCCAGAATGGTCTGTGCTTGGCCAAGATTGCGTCTAACCTGATAATATTGCATCCCATGTATTAATAGAAGGCATTGTAAAGGCAAATTTCTCGATTTCATGAATTTAACACTGGTCTGGCCAAGAAACATAAAGAGATTCAGGTGCCTCGCTCACCTGTCGAAGCTTTTCAAATGACTGCACATTGTTCTCTCTCCTCTGCATCTGAAGAAGAAGTAAGGCCTTATCAGTATTTTTCTTTCTCCAATTGGATTTTAGTATTGAAATATATCATAAATTGTGTAGAACAAGACAGCTTACCCTTCTTGTGTGGAGTCTATGAACTTTTTCCCGTGGCCTAAACACATTGTAGGGATTGGTATCATTGACCGGTGGAGGAGGCTGTTCCAGAAAAAAAGAAGCAAAACATCAACTAAATAATCAAGGTCAGATGACTTTCTAACATAGGCCTTGATTGTTTCAAATGGAAAAAACAAACCTGTAAACGCCGCAAGACTGGCTTCTGCCATCTTTTGCGCTAAGTTCACATAGAAAAAAAAAAAAATGAAACATAGGCATTAGTATTATAAGCCAAAGGTACTCCATATGTGGAACTAATGCGTCATTCACTAGGATTATGCATAGGTTTCAAGAACCCAATAATCTGTTAAACTATCTTTTATCTCACCCTGTCAAGTAAGATAATTAACTCATGCAACATAACGTCTATATCCAGAAAACTTGTAACAACATAAGTTTTATCTCAAACCTTGTCTTTCCAGTAGTTGAAGATAGCCTGAAAGGTTCCATAATTAATGGACAGTGATTGCAGTGCCTGCAATACGGAGACAGCAATAATCTTTGAAATGTTCTGTACTGTTTCTAAAATGAGTATAAAAGGCCAATCCAAAAGGCTATGGAACACAGTAAAAGTAAAGTATACATCAACAGCAGCATCAAACTGCAAAAGCACAGGAACCGGAGAACCGAGAGTAGGCGTAATAACTCCAGCTCTTTCCCGCGTCTTGTGATCCAAAACCTCTAGTTTAAATATAATGCTCTCAAGCCTGTATCAGACAAATTAACACATTTATGGCGCTCATCAAAAAGAATGCTCTATTTCACGAAAGGCTTGGTTTAAGCAAATTTAGCAGAATCCAATCACAGTTTTTGTGAACAGAGCAAACCACTTTAACTACAATACAAAACTACAAGACACAGGGAGTCTGAATAACCCAATCTGTCTCAATGTTCAATATGGGAAACACAATATCAGTATGATGCAGCTACAAGATAATAGCAAAATACTGATGATGATGAGAAGTCCAAAAAGAGGAGAAATTGAAAATAGTTGGATTGGTTACTTTACTTTTCAGGTGAAAGTTCTTCGTTATTCTTATAAAACTCATAAAGCCAGTCTTCATCCTCATTGTCAAGATCATACTCCACAAATTCTCCAAGCTCAGACCGAGCTGCACAAAAACAAACTTATAGTCTCCACATAACAGATAAAGTACCTTCATAGCCAAGAATACAAATCAGATCAGAGGTAACTGGTACCTCCTCTTGCACGTAGATAAGAAGCAGGCTGACCAAAAGTCGGAGAATAATCCCTTTCATAAGTATCCACAATAACAAATTGAGGTGTTGGTATTTCTGAAGCTGGCTTCTTGGTTGGCACTGGAGCAACCTGATAATAAGTAACAATGGTTAGAATGATCGAATTCGAATTCTGAGGTAAGAAGAGAAAGAGAAAAGAAAATGGAAATTCACCTCATTGTCAACCTCTACGGAAGCTATACGCAGCAACTGAGAATTTCTAGTAGTAGAAGTTGGCGTGTCGTCGTCTTCAAAGTCTTTAAACGATTTTAAAATAGGAAGCTTCTTGTGTATGTCCAATGGCCGTGGCCGGAAAGAGAGCCTACTCATTTCACCTTCTTCCTCACTATTCTACTTACAAGTGTGTATATACAGATAGATAGATCGCTATGTTGCTCAAAAAAAATGACAGGGAGAAAAGCACAACGTCTGTAATATTCAAAAAAATTCAGAATCCTAAAATCTCAAACAGAAGAGAAACCACGGGTTTCAATAAATCACCTAAGCAATCGAAAGCCGATTTTAGGGTTTTGAATCCGGATGGAACGAGAGAAAAAAATCCAAATCGACACCCAACGCTCTTCCTCTTCCTCGTACAATCCCAGATTTTAGGGTTTTTTTTTTTCTCGCTTGCTATGTAAAATTGCGGCGGCTACCCGAAAAGGAAACTCTTCCGTGATTTAACCCGGAAGGTCAAAATCGAAGCTTTGAAGGAAAATTATAAAAATTTAATGGAGGTCGACGTGCTTGATTCCGTCACTAACACACGTACAAGGAGGGAAAACACTTTGGTAAATTCGGGTTCGATTTCTCAATTTTTATTTTCTCGCATTAAAGGTTAAAAATAGCACATTATTATTAAAAAAAATTCAAAACTTGTATAAATTTAGTAACCATCAACTTTTCTTTTTTGAGCTTCTTCTCATATCATCATCCTCAAATGAACTGCCTTTTTAACACATTGACTTCAAAAACTTCTTTGATCTTTCAAATAGTTTATAATACCACACTGAAAAATTCACAGATTCTTTTTTTTTTTTTTTCAAAGAACCATCCACATATACTATTTACAGAGAAAGACCCCCTCAAAAACAAAAAAAAATGATCTTCAAGGCTTTGGATTCACTTGCTGTGAATTCGGTATTTCGATTCGTGGTGAGCTATGTGGAAACTTCCTTAATGGTTTCCGTCAAATTGAATCATGTGGATGTTCTTCGCCATTGTTTCTTGCTTTTCATCTGGCTTAACTTGAAAGGGCTCCAGCTTTTTCTGCGTTTTGAGGTTTCGCAGAAGAGACCAGAAGCAAGAGCTTGTTGAAGCCATAGCTCAAACTCTTCTTCGTCCTCATCCATCATCTCCACATCTAGATCCCAAGGGAACCTACTTGAGTTTGATCTTTGTGTTGTCTTCTCTAAACCAACCATGTTCACATGAAAGCTTGGCCTATGCGTGTTCGGTCTACATGCCATTCCCTATAATGATCAAATCGACACATGTTAATGTACCTCAATCATCTTCACACTGAGGTAATCCACAAAGGAACCGGTAAGAGAACCAACCTGACAAATGGCCCATTCTGAGACGTCAAATATTTTGCTTTCCGCGCAAACAAAAGCCCGCGGTATCTCAATCTTGAAACACCGAAACAATAAAGCAGTTTAGTTGAGGATACTGAGGCAACCAGATTCATCATTGCAAGCAAAAACGTGAGAAATGAGCTTTTCTATTACCTTATGTGCTCTCTCGAAGGGTAATGTCCCTTTGAGTTCGACCCATCCATCTCCATCTTTCGCTTGATGATATTGACCACAATCCTACATTTTAACAAATTGGATGATCTGAATGAGGGTTTTGAAATATCCAAAAAATGAAAGAAAAAGATGCTTTAAGAGTTTCTGAGTTGGTAGGATTCAAACCTGGCACCATCTTGCCTTGGCTTTAGTCCTATTTGTGCAGATCCATATGTGTGAATTACCACATTTCGTGCAGTGTATCCGCCTCGACTCTTCTGATCGATAATCAGGACCACTCTGCAGATAAACAAGAACAGAAAAATGGAACACAAGACCAGGCGCAAATAAATATCAAAGAGAAGCAAAAAAGAAATCTGTAACTAAACCTTATGCGAAGAAGCATGAGATGTCTGACAAACACTCCTGGTCCTAGATTCTTCTTTTCGTAATTGCTCATCGTAATCTCTCTTCTTTACGAAATCAGAAAGAACCTGAAAGAAGAAAACACAACCTTTTCATGTATATATATCAAATTACCAAGAAACATCAAAATTTATAAATTCAAGATTATACATCATTAGACTACCTCGTAAGCACTCTGAAGTTTCTTGAATGATTCACTTGCCAATGGACTCCCCATATTTTTATCAGGATGAACCAACATTGCCTAGAACATATATCATACAGTTCATTAACCTTAGAGAAACTGCATTAGCCTACTCAGCATTGGAAATGAGGACAAACCTTCTTTCTATACTCTTTCTTAAGCACCACCGCATCGATCTTTTTATGCCGAGGAAACCCTAGTGTTTCATAATGATTCAAACTATTCAGTATTCTCTTCATTTCATCAGCTGAACTTGTCTCTTCTATTTTGACTATTTTAACAATAGAAATCTCCTTAACAGTATTAACAACAGTCGAAGGAGCACATGGTTCAGCAGACGACTTATTCTCATGAATCTTTTTCTCGACTTCTTCTTCGACAGGAACTGAAGGATACTCAAATTCCCCTGAATAGTCTTCTTCTATAATTGTTTCTTTTGGTTTCTTTGGTTCCTCGTGTTGTGGTTTTTCACTTAAATTATCACACCATTGAAGAAGACAATTTAATATATCATTGGACAAGAAAGCAAGATTTATTGAGAGGAAAAGACCAAGCCATCCAAGTCTGACTTTGACACAATACATCGCATATGAGGCCGCCATTAGAACCACCACACGGGCATGATTCAAGGAAAATAAATAGCCTGAATCAAATAAAATTAGAGAAATCAACACCATGTACATAATAAAGATCAGTCATAGAATGGACTCACTGAACAATAACCTGAAAGACAACCCGGCAAACTAATCTTAAATGGGTGTATAGTAACAGTGAATAAGCACAACTGATCAGGGAAAAATAGAAACTTGCCTCCAACTATAAACAACGTTCCCGTGATCCAAAAGTTTGCGTACATCCATAAAATCAAAATTCCGAATAGTCCCACAATAAAGAGCCCAGGAGTGCAACCCAAGTTCAGAACAACACCTGCAGCAGCTCCCTGCAATAGTAAGTTCAAAGCAATGAGTTAAACCCAGCTCAGTCAACCAAATCTCCAATCTAATGTAGACATTGAATAAAAATCTTGAAACAATTAGTAAGGAACAACATCTACAATAAATATGCATTTCGCATCTAAAATAAGTTTCAGTAACAGTTTGGTGAGTGGGAACACTGTCCTGTTTAAAGATCTAAAATCCAGAGATAAAGATTTCAGGAAAGATGGAGAAAAACTAGAGAGGTAATTACCATACAGAGGAGAACATAAACCAAGCAAGAAAACGAAGTCAAACTAAGGAAGCAACTCCACATAATCAGAAGCAAAGCAGCAGAACCCAATTTGGCGCTGCAATGAAAACCCCTAAAAATGCAGTCTTTCCAATACACAACAGACCAACGAAGCAATCCTAATAGCTTTCCACATCCACAACACACCAGCGGCCAGTGACGCTCTACAATGTCTCCCATCTTCTCCCCAAAGCATCGAATCGCAGAACAAGCATCGGAGCACATATTCTTCTGAGATTGCATCCATTTCCAACCTTGCTTAACCAAGCCAATATCCTCCATCACCAAAAAAACCAACAACTTCAATCCGTAGCCCAGGCTCGATTCAACTCACAACGACAGAACCAGAGATTGATAGGCGGAAGAACAGAACCAAAGGGACACATCTCTCGACGGAACTAGCTTCTCAGCCATGACGTAGCTCAATTCAACAGATTTGCCGTATATAAACGTAACAGAGAAGATATACAACAACAACAATAACAAACAAGGCAGAGTGTGACAAGAAGAAAATCCGGTCACGCTTATTCGTTCAACGCAAATCCCTTCACATGCAAGTTTCCCCAAAAACAACAGATTAAAGAAGAAAAGGCAAAGCAAAGCCCCGTAATATCTGAAACAAGAACCAACAAAAAAAAAAGGAATCTTTCCTTTCCTTTTTTTTTTTTGCAAAACTCAGTCTTTGCTTCATTCAAAGACATTCCCTAAATTACCCATCAAAGTCCCATTATTAAAAGCCGATCCTTTGATCGGATCCAGGAAAAATCTCATTACTCTTTCCGGCGAATGAACAGCTTCGTCGGAGAATCAACACCACCGACAAGTATTGCCCCGGAGAGAGAGAGAGAGAGTGTGTGTGACAAATAAAAGTAAGAAAATGGGATGCTTTAGCTAAAGTAGATTGGAAGTAGGGGCACTGTAAGATTAAAGCTTGAGAAAACCCTAAAAGAGCTCGTGAGAAAAGAAAAGAGAAAAACCAAAACTTGAAAAGTTTCAAAAAGTTGTTCGAGGAGAGAGAGACGACAAAGTTTCGCGTATTTAGAGAGACAAGACAAAGATCAATCCATAGAGAAGAAGGCAACACAGTAATTAATTAAGTCGTTAATTATTAAATTAGCATTGGTTTTTGGAGAATTAATTAGGAGTTTTGTGTTAAAATGAACTTTACTTACTAGACTAGTATTATATTCTGGGTCCCAGTTTACTTCCTAAAGTGTTAAACTTTAAAATCTCCTGCGGCTGGTCGTATTACCGGAGTTGGTTTACTCCGGTTCAATCCTGTAAATGTTGGATACCATAATAATGGATTTAACCGAATTAAAACGCATTTTCTAGAGCATCATTGCATTGCTGCTTTTCATAAACGCATTTTCTAAATTTCGGTTTGGATTTATTGATCCTAAAAATAATAATAAGATATGAAATAAATTAGATGCTCAATTCTTAATTGGCATTATATGTGTTATATAGTTTAGAACATGTGTTTTTTTTTTTTTCTTAAAGTTGTTTCGAAAAAGATTGTTTGTTTTCGTTTGACATCCCTACTATAGTAAAAGAGAAGTACAAATGTTTCTTGGGTCGGGTTTTAAAAAAAAATTAACCCGGAATTTTTCAGTTGGATCTTACTAAAAATTTAAAGATATTAAATACCAGTTTCTATATATATTATTTCGAAATTTACCAAATTAAACCATCAATATCGGTTTGGGAAAGTACATTAATCTTAATTTGTTTAAGGAAAATACATTAATGTATGATTTTGTATATTGGTTTAACAAATTAACCTAAAAATCAGAAATATAAATTAAATATAAAATAATCATTATCAAATTATCCATAATATTTCAAAACAAAATCTTCCTTAAATATCCTATATTGATATTTGGATGTATAGTTTTCTCATATATTAACTATGATCTTCACACCAGTTACGGGATATTTCATTTTCAACCATCTTTAATATCTATTTTTTTCTCTATGACCATCTTTAATATTTATTTGGCAATAGTTTCGAATTGCTGGCTTGATTATAAAACTAATCTTTTTTCAATTTAACCCTAAGAAAATATGATCTATATAAATAAGTTTTTGCTACCAGAAAATTGTAACATCAACACAGATTTTACATTTAAACACGATAAGAAATAAGAAATCATTGGCTCTTTATTTGTTTATTCTAGAGATTTGCAACTTTACAAGACTACATGAAAGGTCCAAGTTAAAATCATGTATTTATGTTTATGCGGTCTACCGCGGGTCAATCCCTAAATTTTAAAAATGATTCATTGTATAATATTTTTTTTTCATTGTATAATATTTATACATGTATATATGTCACATATTGTTCTAAAATTAACAATCCAACTAAAATCATACAATTTAAATAATTTTGAACATATTCGAAATCAACACATACAATCTAAAAATGATAAAATTTAATTACTGATCAAAATAAAGTAAAGCAAACACAAATAAAATTATTTCGCAACGTACAAAGGACTAAAAACCCGGTAATTTTCCCCCGCGCTGTAGCGCGGATCCGGACCTAGTTATTTAGTTAAAGCATGTGTCAGTTACCTGTATTCAAAGCATCGTGCTTGTAGTTTTGGGATTATGTGAATACAGCAAGATGCGGAACCTCTATTTAAATATCGAACTAATTATTCTCTTATCCATATATGCAGTCAAAATAATACTATAACTTAAAGTTTTTTTTAAAGAGGGTTAATTAAATTAATTACTTCAGTCGCAAAGTGAATATATATAGTATTGCATAAGAAGGTTTCAATGATACTTTAAAAGGTCAATTGACTGGCTTATATAACATTGTTAATCTATGGTCCTTGTGAAAAATACTTATAAAAAAAAAAAACATTTAGCTCCACCGGAAGTAGTCATGTGGGGTGCAAGAAAATATGATATATTAAAATTGTGGTGGGTGATATTTTATGATTGAAATATATGAAAATGGTAGCTTGCACCCTTACTCACTCTCATTTGAATTGATTAGTATTGTAATAATATTTGTTTCTCATCACCACGACTTAGACGTGTAACTAACATATCGACTGATCAACCAATGGTTATTAATTTAATTAAACGACTTTTTGATTTTTGTACTAGTATATCAACACTACTCTAGTTGATAGTTTTCTAATGACTTGAGAAAGCACTGATCTTATCCTATTTAGACAAAGAGACAATAGTCAAGTTCGTTGATGTTTCCAGTTATGGAGAAGCCATTACTGTAGAAGGACGACCATTAGACAGCAGCGAGTGGTCAGAAACGCAACGGTATTTCTTCTAAACGCTCGCTGATGAGTTACGAATCTGCGTTTCAATTCAACATCGCTTTGGCAATTCGCAACGTGGATGACATTATGTCATTATGGGTCTGCGAGAAATTAGTGGGGCTATTTTGAGTAAACTATAATCTATAGGGGTCAAGAATGAAACAATAGTTAAACATATTCAAAATCCGACGTGGCAATATGAAGTGATCTAACGGATCTGCGTAAACCAGTTGAAGATAACGTTAGTAAGGACGATATCCCGACCAAAGCCACACAACATTCGCCACGTGTCATAACTACAATCACTTATCGGATCTCCGCTCTCTCATATTTGAAGCCACACAAGATGCACAAATCACTTGGGGGTGAGAAGAAGAATTAGTTTTGATCCATCTTGTGAGAATCAATCAATCGATCAATAATGGCTGCTTCAGTGATGCTATCATCGGTGACATTGAAACCAGCTGGTTTCTCGGTGGAGAAGACCTCGGCCAGAGGATTACCTTCGCTCACTAGAGCTCGTCCCTCCTTCAAAATCGTCGCCAGTGGCGTCAAGAAGATCAAGACCGACAAGCCCTTCGGTTCGTAGTATATCTATATTATTATACCAAGATTTTACAATATAGTCCACGTTTCACCGTTCATGTATAGCTTATATCTGTTAAATCGATGTGTGTATGCGTAGGAATTAACGGCAGCATGGACTTGAGGGACGGTGTCGACGCCTCCGGCAGGAAGGGCAAGGTTAATATAGCTAAACACCACGCCGTTCACTATCTTTTTGTAATATTTGTTGGTCAATCTTCTAAACGCTGTCCTTTGAACGCAGGGATACGGTGTTTACAAATACGTCGACAAGTATGGAGCTAACGTCGACGGATACAGGTGAATAATAATGATAATAATCTCCTCTATATAACACGTTTTAGATAAGAAAGAACCATGGAAATATGTAGTGATAGATGATGATGATGATTTTCAATTTTGGGGTTGCAGCCCTATTTACAACGAGAACGAGTGGTCAGCCAGTGGTGACGTTTACAAGGGAGGAGTCACCGGATTGGCAATTTGGGCTGTGACTCTCGCCGGAATTCTTGCCGGAGGAGCTCTTCTTGTGTACAACACCAGTGCTTTGGCTCAGTAAATCTTAAGTTGTTAGCGCATGTGTACTCATGTTTCTATAATGTTCCTGTGTTATTGTTTTCTCCTCTCTAATGTTGTAAACCTCAGAAATACTTTGAATTTATAAAAGACTTCCTAGCGTTTGTATATATTCATCTTCTTGTGATTCTTGAACGATTTCATTGCACAAGAATGATTTTCGATTCAATATATAATATTCGGGAGAACCATTTGGAGTCATCACGAGTCAAGAGATGAACATGATCTTGGTCTAAAATGGATTAGATCCCTAACTCTTGGTTAAGTCATTGGAAATCATCAAGCGAGTCTTCTTCTTCTTCGCGATGGGAACCTGGGGAAGAGCTGCTGCTTACCAAAGGAGTTGATCGATGAACTTCTCCATCTAACATCAACAATCTCACTTTCTGCAACACCATTACAGAAAGAAAAAAAACTTCGCATAAAGAGAACGGATTCTAATGCTTAAAGCTTACATCTCACATTTGTTAAAAAGAAAGGAACTTGCAATCTTCGGAGATTAGATAAGATTATGAAATAGAGGAAGCTAACCTTCTCAATATCTTCTTGGAGAGAAGGGTTTTCCCTTAAGTGTTGCAGTGCTTTTTCTCTTCCTTGCCCCAGCCTGAAACAATGACCCCAAACACAAAAACATATCTCATACTCTCTATCCACTTCTGTCACATAATCAAATGCATTAAAAATTTGAAAGGATTTCTGAGTTTTCACTGTAGAATCCAAACCTTTGGTCTTCGTAGCTGTACCAAGAACCTTTCTTGAGCACAACCTCCATAATTTCAGCACAATCAAGAACGCATCCCTACATTTTAGGTTTTAGTTAAAATATAATTAACAACAATGTTTATCCGTTGTCAGAGACTGATCATCCACAGATGCATACCAGTTTATTGACTCCTTCCCCAAACATAATCTCAAACTCTGCTTGCCTATACGGTCTTGACACCTGCAAAATAAAAAAGGAATAGGCAAAACCACTTTAATGTCTAAAATAAGTTGACATAGATTAAGGACATGTTTAGCCTTGATACTAACCTTGCTTTTCTGCACTCTTACGCGAGCTCGGAGACCAATATCTTCATCCCCTTTGCTCTTTAATTAGAAATGAGTTTAGTCTAATAACGACACCAAAATTACACAGAAATAAACTGCAAAGTTAATAGAACTATTATCCTTACAGATTTGATCTTCCCAGCAGAACGGATCTCTAGCCGGACCGATGCGAAAAACTTCAGCGCTATGCCTCCACTAGTTACCTCCGGATTCCCATAGTACACACCAATCTTAAAAGCATAAGAGATTAGCACTGTTAGATCAAGAACACAACATGCTTATATATGAACCAAACACAACATGCTTAAAGAGTGAGTGATTAGTCATAATTTGCACCTTGTATCTTATTTGGTTTAGGAAAATAAGTGTACAACCAGCTTTAGAGGCGTTTCCTGACATTTTACGAAGAGCTTGACTCATAAGACGAGCTTGCAAACCCATTTGCTGCATTCCAATCTCACCCTAAGTAGGAAACAGGAGAGGAAACAAATTAACCTCAGGGAACTTCATACAGTAAAGAAAGAAGATGTTCAAAAGAGATGATATCATACTTCAATCTCAGCTCGTGGAGTAAGTGCTGAAACAGAATCAACACATATAAGGTCAACCGCACCTGAACGACACATACGGTCTGCAGCTGTGTGAGTAAGAATAAGAAGAACATATTAGCTTCACATACACATACTTAACATGGCATTTAATATCAGGATACAAGATTTAGAATGTTTTACTTTCTAAAGCCATTTCGCCATTGTCAGGCTGGCACACTATCAAATTTTCTACGTCAACACCTAACGCTTTGGAGTATGATGGATCAAAGGCATGCTCTGCATCCACAAGCATTGCATTACCTCCAAGCTTCTGCACAATTAGCAAAGTATGTTCAAGCGACATGCCCGAGATGATATAAAGATCGAATTATCTGGTCGAAGTATAACCTGCACTTCAGCAATTGCATGGAGTGCTAGCGTGGTCTTGCCACTACTTTCTGGTCCATATATCTGCAGAATTAAAACTCAAATACATGAAAAACTGAGACCAGCGTCACACTAGTCATTTTCTATGATAAGAGCTCTGCAACGTATCTAAGCAAGATCAATACCTCAACTACCCGACCCTTTGGCAGGCCTCCACCTAAGGCAAGATCGAGAGTTAAAATACCACTCGGAAAAGTCTCCCTGCAATACAGCCGACCAACCTAAGTTAATTATCACATGGTGGAATCAGGATGTCTAGTGCCATGCTATTGACGACACTCTTATACAATAAATAAGAGAATTTCACACAACTCACACTAGTGCTCCACCAGCACTCCCCAATCTTGTTACACTTCCTTTACCAAATGAACTGTTTATGTCATTCATAGCTGCCTCTAACGCCTTTTGCTGTAAACAAGCCAAGAAAACAAAAGTTGGTGAGACAAAGAACTCAAACAAAACAAAAATGAACGTGAGCTCAAAGAATTAAAGAAAAGAGAAGAGAAGACGCAGAATAATGCAAGAGAGCAATGTAACACCAAAAGAAGGGCAAGAAACAGCTTAATGAGAGATGAAACTTATCAAAATTCTTTGTTTTAATCCATAAACAAGCCATTCTCGAAATGAAGACATAAGAAATATGGACAAACGAAGAAGATAGTAACTATTTGTGAGTTGCCCGTAACTAAAGCTCAGAAATTTGGGACACAGTTTCTGAGCCACTATAGCAAATTGTGAATTCCTTTCCAATAAGTTAAGAATTTCAGGTCAAGATGAATACAGAGGATAACCAAAGCCAATCCCATGAGTGGAGATCCAGATATGTTCAGCGTATTGTTGTTAACAGTGAATCAAAAACAAAAACAAAAAGAGGGAGAAAGATGAAATTACACGGTCGAGGAAGCGGGAATCGGCGTCTGGAGATAAAGCGCCATTGATTCTGTCGTCGAATTCAGAACTAATGTTGTGGTTGAGTTTCTTGGCGGCGACCTGAGAATAGAGGCGGCGGGAGTAGCAAGACGAGAGACGGAGCGGCGGAGAAAACGAACATGGCGTGAAAGGGTAGAGTGGAGAAAGAGGAGTGAGGCAAGGATTTAGCTTCAGCGACCAGACTAGGCATGAATCCATTTTCTGGGTTTAAGCTCAAAGAGTCGAAAAGACGAGAAGAAGAAGAAGAAAGAACCTCATATGTATTTATTTCGAATTTTAAAATAAATTATTTAACATTCCCTTTATTAATGTAATAAATCAGAAATAATCAAAAAAAAATTCCATCCATAACAAAAATATGCTGAGAGTATCAATCACAAGGAGTTCAATTTTAGAGAAAGCTCAACATCTCCTGCATCTTTCCATGAAATCATCATATTCCATGACAATACAACTCCATGGTTTAGAATCTTGTCCTAATCACACTCCATCTTTCTTCACTCTGAATAACACATTCCAACGAAATTTTTCAGCTAAACGTGCACACTTAAACAACAGAAAGAAACCATTTTAATCCTTCAAATTGAGTGAGAACCGTTTACAAAGGATAAAGTTGGTAAAGCTTTGGCTAGTTTATTAACAGCCTGATAGAATTTGGTGGTAATAAAAAAGTCCTGAAGTTATACATAAAAGCTCTGTTTGGATCTTTTGTACATTCTAGACAACAGGAATGAAACATTTAGCTATTCATCATCATTACATAACCTAGCTAGTTGCTTTGGATCATCACAGCTGCAAATATTTTGTACTCTCAAGTCATCATATAAATGATTTTAATTTGCAGAAGCTCGATGATAATGGAAATCAAAAGGGGCCTGCATTCAAACGGGCTACACCAGAAGAGGAAATTGGAAATCAGAAAGTGATGAGACAAACTATGTACCTTCATGTTATTCCCTTTAAAACTCATGTGGTTTGCAACAAAAAACAACTGTTGATGGGTGGTGTCATGTGCAAATGGGATCATATCTGCAAGCAAAAGGACAGTGATGGAAACTCAGATTTAGTCTACAGTCCATCCTGAAACAGACACAACACCAGATATAGAGAAACAAACACACATACATCAACACATTGCACCACTCAATAATCATACATATATATATAGAGAGAGAAGCTACCCATAACGCGAAGAAGAGCATTAAAAGACAGTGTAGTAGGTCTTTGAACATCAGAAAGATCTCAAATGAAATGATGCTAGTAGTCGAGTAGATCAATATACTACAACATCCTACTATATGAATACTTAGATTTAAGAAGAAAAAGCTAAGGTTGTGATTTAACATCTCCGATCAAAAGGAAGGAAGATAGATAGATATCTCAGATTTTCCCGCTTATCACCCCGTGTCATTCTTGATCAACAACAGCTTCTCGCTAGCTGTCTCAATGACCTTATTTATTGGTTTATCAAAATAACCCCTTATATCACGTGACATATGCATATATTAATGACTTCATACTTTTCCAACCTCCAACTTTTTTCCTTTCTTTTTTTCTTATTTAAAGGTTTTGTTTCCTAAACTCATAAGATTGATTAAGGGGGGGTTATTGGGAGGATGATTTTAAAAGAGTTTATGGATTTCTAAAGTTTAGAGATTTTAAGATTCTCAAAAATTTTTGTGGATTCTAAAATAATGTTTACCCAGATTTCTAGAGTTTAATAGATTCTTCATATGATAGATTCTATAAATACTTGTGAGAATTGCAGTATTTTGAAAGTTGTTTTTAATGACTAAATATGTAAGGAATCATTAAACCAATAACACTAGAATTTGATAGAATTGGAAAATCAATAAATACTCAACTTTTTGAATAACAAAGGATTTTAAATAGAATTACAAAATACATACACCAATAACAAGAGATTTTATTAGGAATCTAAGAATCTATAAACCAATAACAATGGAATCTTAAACTCTAAAAATCTTTAAAAATCATTCTCCCAATAACTCCCCCTAAGCTTTTTGGAATATTCCAGAGATATACATAAACAAAGACTATTAATAAAATGGATAATTATTAAAAAAAGTAGGAGATTAGTAGACAGACTCTCTAATCTGTGAGTTAGCCGTTTGAATCATTCGATCCGAGAGGCTCCGCCATTGGCTCCAACAGAACAATATGAATTACCGAAAGCACCCCCCGGATAGTAGAGGGGTGAGATGCACGCGCCACCTGGGTCGTTTTTATTAACTGTTGGCAAAGCCCCAAAAACAAACTCACAAGGCTCCAATCAAACCATTGTCACTCATCCATAAACCTCTCTCTCTTCTCTTCTCTCTCTCTCTTTCTCTCTCTCTCTCTGGTTTTGGATCTGGCCGTTGATTTTTTTCCCGGCACGGCGATTAGTTTGTTGTTTGCATGAACGCCGGTGATGGCTTCTGCTTGTGTTAACAATGTTACTGTTTCTCAGGAGTTTCCTACTTACGGATGTTTCAATCCACGAGCTTCTTTCAGCCGTGAAGACCCTACTAGGGTCTCTGGATCCGCCGCGTCTGACATTCAGAAGCAGAATCCGAAGGTCACGGTCACGGCGGAGGAAAAACTAGCTGGAGCTGGTGATTTCGAGTTTAGGTTGGAGGAGGATCCTGTCAGAATGCTCCCAGCTGACGAGCTTTTTTCCGACGGTAAGCTCGTGACGAAACAGCAGCAAGAGACGACGGTGGAGGCCGCCGTGAAATGCAGGAGGACGGAAGTGGCGGAGATGGAGATCTCCGATAGTTGCTCCTTCTCTCCAAAGGCACCACGGTGTTCGAGCAGGTGGAGAGACTTGTTAGGCCTCAAAAGATTCTCTCAGAACAGCAAAGCCGCGGCCACGACGTCGAATCCGAGATCGTCAACTTCGTCGTTGAAGCAATTCTTGCATCGGAGCTCGAGATCGTCGACTTCGTCCGGATCCTCGTCTTCCGATGCTTCGGTACTCATGAGTCTTCCTCTTCTGAAAGATTCTGATTGCGAGTCTCTCTCCATATCTTCTTCTCGTATGTCTCTCTCTTCGTCCTCCTCAGGCCACGACCACGAAGATCTCCCGAGGCTCTCTCTCGATGCAGATAGACCTAACCATAACAGTAACCATAACCACATCCTCAACCACAACGTCACGGCGAATCCATTTGCGCCCGCTCGTAGCCTGAACCCGAATCCACCGAGAATGAGGTTAGTGAACCATTCATCAGCAGGAAACGGAGGAGGGAGAGTGGGACGCAGTCCGATGCGGCGTTCAGGAGGAGAAACATCTCAATCATCAATAATGAACAGAGGAGTCTCAGTGGATAGCCCAAGACTAAACTCTTCAGGGAAAATAGTGTTCCAGAGCCTGGAACGGAGCTCAAGCAGTCCAAGCAGCTTCAATGGTGGAACAAGCGGGTACAGACACAGAGGAATGGAGAGGTCGTACAGCTCAAACGTGAGGGTAACGCCAGTTTTAAACGTTCCGGTTTGTTCAATCAGAGGTGGTTCAGTAGTCTTCGGTCAGTTTTTCTCAAACGGCAACAACAACAACAACAGAGCTTCGTCTCATTCTCATATCAATAGAGGTCGCAACTCAACGGATCGGATCTAACCCGACATTTTCAAAATTAGGGATATTCATCAATGGTAACACATCTTCTTAATGCAACAGTATCTTAGCTACCTACTAGTAATCTTTTTTTCTTTTGGTTTGTTACTTACAACAAATCTTATTATGATTAACAGAGCCTTTTCTTTTTTTAATCTAGTCAAGAATACATCATCCAGTGTGTGTCTACTGTTGTAAATAAAGAATCCGTCATTGGTTTAGTGTAATTCTCCTAGGGGTTGTTCTATGGGGTTCTCCTTTGACATGGACGGACACACGAAAATGGAATTGGAATCTACTAATAATTGTTGTGTTTTTGGCTGAGGGTGTTGAGGAGAAAGAGAGAGTGTGCGGTTGACGCGTTTAAGGAACGCGCGTGGGTCATAGCCATAGCATAGGAAACACAGATACTTTTTTCTCTCTCTCTCATATGCTCTGTGTGTATTTGCGCTCTCCCCACGTTGAAGCTTATCTAAGCTGTCTCTTTCATGTGATTTTTTTTTTTTTTTTTCCATTTTATTCTAGTAGAGTAGTAGAAGTTTGTAATTTTTTTAAATTTTTTCTATAGTTTAATTTTGTCGTTTTCTGAGTTTCGGAAATGATGCAGTATTCAGAGACTTTACGACACCTTTCTTTGTTTTATATATTTCTTATTCGCATTGTTGTTTTGTTAATCAAAGAAGGTTCCTTTAAGCATATTAATGTTGGCTCTACTTGGTCTTCGGTTTGGTGTTCGAATCACCCTCACATGTTTAAGTGTCAGGATTTTTTTGGACGAACTTTTATTATGAACTATGGTACGTGAAAGGTACGAAACTGTTCAGAAGATTACATATTATTATTTAAGTCTACAAATAAAAATGATATAGATTGGATGGAGTTAGGACCAGCAAGAGAGATTGTACAAGTACAAGACCCTAAGCTTCTTTCACCTGTCTCTATCCTCTGTTCTTGTACTTTGGCTTCTTCTCTCTTTGGTCCCCTTCCTGTTCTAGTTTCTCCTCCTCCTCCTTCTGCTCCTACTACTCACTTTAAAAAACAGAGCATTTCCGGGTATATTTCTAAATCAAATTCCATAATTGAGAAAAAGTGAACATCTGTCTTGAAAGTTACATCTATGCTACTACTACTACTAGGGTATGCTTAGTTGCAACTAATGATTTGTAAAGCAGCGCACAAAGCTAGTTTTGTGGGTTAAAGACAAAAACTTTCGCAGAGTTCCCCAAATGGGTTTAGGTTTGTGTGATTCGTATGGGATGTACCCAGCACAAACGGACCAGTTAGATTTCTGGTCAGAGAGAGAGAGGCTCGGTCTTCCATAGTTTTAAACTACTTCTTCTTCTTTTACAACATCATTAACTATTTAACCCCCTTACAAGTTACACCAATCACCATCGTCCACATATATAAAAATAATTAAAAAACATAACATGGTCGTTATAGAAAGAAGATAGTGGTTACCATTACCAAACCAACCAAAGAAATTTGTGGCCCCTATCAAAAAGCATTGTAGTCAAGAGAGAGAGATCTACACTAGCCTAGTAATCCTGAAGGGAAAAACTTTTAAAAAAAAAGCCTAGGAGATCCAATCATATAGGCTTCACAATCACGTGACCAGCACAGAAGACACGTGACTCTGTTAGTACACACACACTAGTAATACTGTTGTATATACGGGCATCCTCCTATCGATTTTGTCGTAAACCCACGTGACAAGATTTTTTTTATAAACATTGAGATATTAATTTCTTATGTAAAGCCTTTTGCCAACAAAATCGAAAAAAAATATATTATACCTGTATTGTATACAAAATAAATAAGCGACCCGACATATTCACTTTAAAATTCTGTTTTACATGATTGGGTTGATGGACCATATGGTTCATTCACTGAATTAGAGTTCGTAACGATACAAACAAAAAAAAAATAACAATTTTATTATTACCAAAATAAAAACAAAACAAATAAAAATGGAAAATTGGGCATTCTAAACTAGAGACGAACTGATGGAACAAAAAGCCCACTAGAGGCCCGATAACACCAAACGATGAGAGCAAACTTTGTTCATACAGTAAAAGACCTCTCATCTCATCGATTTGGCTACCAAACCCGAAGCGGTAAGCAGAGAAAGAGCTAGTGACAAGTGTGTTTGGTCATCATGTAGTTTCGGAGGATGTTTTCTCTAAGAATACAGAGTGAGATCAATGAGTGAACTACTACTACATTACACTAAAGATAAAGACGGTGTATGAAATTACCAAGGGTGTTGGTGTTGGTGTTGGCAGAGAGTAAGTGATCGATGTTATCAATACGCCTTTGAATAGATTTGAGGACAAGATTCAGCGATGAGACTCTTTGTTTGACGCTTGTGATTCTCGACGCGTGTTGTACTATCAACGGCAATGGAGCGTTTTCCAGCAATTGATCTAGCTCTGTTTTTTTATTCAAACCACAACACACTTTTTTAAAAAAAAAATTCAATCTTGAGAAATTTTGAAGAATCAATATATTCAATATGGATTATATATGATTGCTTGATTTCTCAGACATCTTTGTTAGATCAATGAATGGGCTAAGCAATTGAAAAAGTTTGTACCTTGGACTAAGCGATCGAGCGAACCGGAGAGTTTGTCTTGGCTATTGAGCGTATCAAGAGCTTTAGAGTCCAAGTCTTTAATCACGGACTCCAGCATCGCTGATAAGCCTCGAGCCATTGCTTCTCCGCCACCGTCTTCTTCTGCGGCCGTCGATTGACCCGAGCTAGTCGTCGCTTCAGCTGAATCGCGGCGGTCCGATTCTGATCGCTGCTCCATTTCCCGGCGTGTTTTTTTAATTTGGTTTTGGATGGCTCTTTTCTTTTCCAAGGGAAATAAAAAGACCAATATGACGAAAATATCCCTGAGATGTTTACTTATTTTCAATTAAGAATTTTATTATTTAGGGTTTTCATTACGTAGTTTTTTCTACTAGTATATATAAGGACGCCATCGTTTCTCTGATTCGATCGAGAGAGCAAGCACAAGATGAGAGCCAAGGTTTGATTTTTATCCTTTCTTTTTAAACCATTTGGTACTTTACTGTATTCGTCGTTGCCTTGAGGGATTGATCAGTCTGCTGCTAGAATTTATGTTGATCTTTGGGTATGTTAGAAATTTGTAATTTGCTCTGTATCGTAGTCACTGGCGAGAGACTGGATCCTTGGATAGACAGAACCAACTGTGTCAGATCAAATTGTTAGGGTTGTGATTTGCACTCATGGAAGAAACTGTTGAGATATTATTCATGTTCGGTTTTTGTTGAATTTGCGATTTCATTTTCTGGAAATATATGTATGAGACTTTGGTTTGTAACAGATGAATTTTGGTCTTTATCATTTGGTAGTCTTTAATAAATGGTTTTCTGTTAACTTCATATTTGCAGTGGAAGAAGAAACGCATGAGGAGGCTTAAGAGGAAGAGACGAAAGATGAGACAGCGATCTAAGTAGTACTCGTCTTCCTAGACATCGCTCTCACTCTTGTTTCTTGCTTCTCTCAAACATTCTTCTTTTTTTCTGTTTCCTTCTAAGTTTCAAGACATTTTTGTTTTAAGATTTTAATGAGAGAATTATTTCAGACTTTGCTGCTTCGTCAACATCGCTTACTGCTGTTTATATATATTTATCCCACTGAAGATTTTGGGATTCCCACTATGAAGCTTTTGCTGTTTAATCAGTTACATGGTTCTTGTTGATCTATAATATGTGGTTATAAAACTGAAGCTTACATGAATCCTCGTCGTGCACATAAAAATGATAAGAACAGTGAAAAAAATTGTATACTAAAGCTTTTATATATGACTAAAAAAAGCCTCATGGTATTCCTCTTCTTCTCCTACCCATCAATCTAAATTGAACTGCATCACAATCCTATCTACTGCATTCTGTCCCACAACCTTGCGCAAACGCAGCTCCTCGAGAACTTCTTTGGCCAGCTCCAGTTCATTCTCATGAGCTATCCCTTCAACGATTATCGCATACGTTGTCTCATTCGGCATTCGCTTCTTCCCTACCATCATCTCAAACACCTCCAATGCCAAATCTGTCCTCCTTGTCTTGCACAACCCTAGAATCATCGCGTTAAAGTTATCTACTGAAGGTTTATAATTCTCACTCTCCTCCATTATCGACAGAATCTCCATAGCTCCTGTATACATCCCTTCCAGACATAGCCCTCTGATCAGAGACGAGTAGGTGTGCGAATCAGGATCAAACCCGCACCTAGTCATCTCATACAAGAGCTGAAACGCTGCAAAGGTGTTACCTTTCCTGCAAAGACTCGTGATTACGCTCTTGTAGAAATCATGCGTACAGCATTTCTGCTTGTTGCTTAAGCTCTGTATTATGTAGAAAGCTTCCTGCACCTTGTTGTTATGCTCACATAAAGCACCTATGGCGTTGTACGTTCCTTCGTTGGGTTTACAACGACGGTAGATCATCTCATCTAGACATTTCACCACAAGATCAACTTTTCCTTCTTTGCACAGACGGGAGATCACCGGGTTATAGCTGGTGGCAGTGACTCTAAACTGATGATTTCCTTTACTCATCTCCTTCAAAACCTCCATTGCCTGCTCTGTTCTTCCATGAAAAGCTAACGAATTGATCAGTATGTTATAGGTAACCACTGAAGGAGCTCGATCTCCACCGTCCATCTCAGCCAAGAGCGAATTTGCTTCCTCCCACCTCCCATCACAGCACAAACACCTCAGCAAGATGTTATAGCTGACAACATTTGCCTTAAACCCTTTGGCAGGTAACTCCCTAAACAGCTTCATCGCATCATCTGTTCGCCCTTCCTTACAGAAACCAGTCAAGAGCACGTTATAGCTGACCAAATTGGGCTCACCGCCTTTGGCAATGATCTCATCTAAGAGCTTGACAGCTTCGTCGGTTCCTCGTTCTTTATAGGCAGCCTCAAGCAAGAAGGAATAAGTAAAAGCATTAGGAGCTAAACCTCTCTGCATCAACTTTTCAACAAACTGCAAGCTTTGGTTTAAGCTACCGAGCATACAAAGACCACGAACCAAGGCATTGTAAGTGACGGTATTGGAAGGATAACCGTGATCCTCCATTTTCTCAACGAGCTGCATCGCGTAACCAACGTTACCTCGCTTACAAAGCTGATTAACCAGATAAGTGTAAGCAGAGGCATCGGGAATAATCCCGGAGCTAACCATTAGCTCAATGACACGAATGGCTTTCTTCAATCTATTGGCTTTGCAGAGATCGTACAAGAGCTGAGTAGAATGAGCTACATTGGGTTTATGGCCTTCCGTGACTAAACATTCGAGGTGAGACAAGGAATCGCTCAAACTAGGCTCGTCGCGTCTAGGGTCATCAGAACCCAAATCTGGTTTCCAGCTGGATCCGCTAATGGTAAAGGCGGAGTCTTTAGGGGATAACGTAATCTGGGTGGAAGCTAAAACCCTAGCGACACCTTTATTGACGGAGGAGAAGTGGAGTAAACCGGCGGGGATGTGGGAAACAAACCCAAGGGCTTTTCTCGGCGAAGATTCCGGTGATGGATGCGCCGCCATGGATAAGACTGAGTTTAATAGAGTCGACATGGCTTGCTTTATAATCGGACAGCAATCAGAAACCTCAAGGAGATGGATAATACTAGTTTACACTTCACATAGAGAAACCAAACCAGGTGAAGGGGCAAGGATCATTATCTACTTTTCCACTCTAATCTGAAATCAAACTTGGTCCCAAGGCATAATAATACTTTGCTGCTTCTTCCCTTTCTTCTTCTTAGTTCATGCTTCTATTTCTTTTCTTTCCTTTTTCACATCCGAAAGGTTCCTCTTTTCCTCCGCCTCTGTTATCCACACGCGTCTAAACCTGCGCGTGGATACAACGCTCTTTTCCCAAACTCAGTGAAGATTGAAGAAGAACAAATGAAATTGATTACCAAAAGTATAATAATAAACTCAAAATGTTTATTTGTTAAAACATAAAGAGAGACAAATAAAGGAACGAGAATAATCAAAAACATTTAAAAAAAAAGGTTTCAAAACACAAAAGATATCAACTAAACAAAAGACAGAAAACACACAAATGCTCTTCTTCATCGGCTAAAAAAAAGAGTTCTGCAAAGCTAAAGACTTTTTTCTCTGTACAGAGACCAAACTTCTTCTCTGTTGCTTTTACCTATAAGACACAAAAACAGTCTTGTCCATTTGAAGCACATATCCTCTCTCTCTCTCTCTCTCTCAATGATGCAAATAGACTCTTACTTTTCCTTCTCGCGGCATCTGCATGATCTTATGCTTCATATACAGACTAACCGATACAGAATCTTCATTTTGCTGCTTCAATCTTTGACACTATCAGCCTAAGACTGGCTCCGTTTTCTGGCTTCCGAGCATAGACCGTTTCAGAAACTCCATGAGTATTCTCTTCTGCTGCTCATCAATGTGTGGGAAACTTGAACGTAGAAGCTCAATTGGCATTTCGCGGACAATGGCTTGAGCAGCTGCCTCAGATATCTCAGTAGCAAAATGCGGTGGCAATTGTGAATTCAAACTCTGCATGATGCTATCGTATTTGCTTACGCAGTACTTCATCAACAGATTAAAGAACTCGTTAAAGGACGCACGCCATAGAGCCATGCCTGCGTTGTTGAAATTATTTGCCCTAATAAGCTCCGAAGCTCTGTCTAATGCTGATTTCAGTATCGTGGAAGCCCCATCTCCAACAGGACTGCCTAAGGGACGGAGCGGTGGCTGCTCAGAAGAACAAGACACTGCTGCTAGACACACGCTTACCGATCCTAACTCCATGTCGTGGATGCACAAGTTTATAACTTTTGCAAGCTTGTTTGTGGTTTTGACGATATCAAGGTCAGATGAGAGGACTCCAAACAGTGACCTTAAATGACGGAAAATGGCCATGCAAACTATCCGCATTAGGTCGCTGCCAGGGAAAATAAGCTCAAGATACCTTGTAAGTAGCTTCCGACCCTTTGGAAGAGAGATAATCCTTAGAAAGAGAAAATCATCATGAGACCGGCTCTGTCCATTCTTGGCAAGGGGATCAGCAAGCTGTAGTGAATCCGCGAGGCTATCCAGCAAAGATTGCCGTCTTTGTTTCAACTGGTGACCTCTGTCCGGGAGTTGGTTAAACTCTAAGTAACGATCTATATCATCAACTTCAAGGAGGAGACAAAGACCATCCTCAATGTACACTCTAGCTGCAAGCATTGGTTCTTGATCAAGGGGCTTATTGGTAGCTTTGTGCTCCGCATTACCAAATTTAGTTGAATTTGGAGGGTCCATTTCAAGAAGTGGACGAGGCCTGCGGATCGAAGAGAAAGGAACCCTACCAAGAGCATCAACCTGAAGAAAAGCATGGGGCTCATTGTTTGTCCGTGCACGCTGCTGAAGGTCCCTCAAATGATTTGGACAAAAATGATGTTTCAGTTGTGCACCAGCAGATTTCTTAGCAAGACAGGCTTGGTGATAGTAATCATCAACGTAAGGATCATTGCTGTGTGTAGCAACAAGCTGCATTCTCAGTATATTCTCTATCTCATCAGCTGACATATATTTAGACCGGAACGGAGGCCACCCACTATATCTCCTCTGAACGCCACCATCAAAGCCTTGTTGGTGAAAACGCATGTTCTGTCTGTTCCCATGACCTGATCCTGGTCTTGCTTCCCTCGGATCACCAAGCCCAAGCATTCCATCGTAATTTCCAGAGGATGATGATCGAGAGAGATGGGAATTAATTAACTGAGGCTGCCCTCCTGTCATATGCCCAAGAGGAGGCTGCATTGGATGTGGTAACCTATTCTGAGAGCCCTGCATCTGTGAAGGCATCAAACCGTTTGGATGAGGCGGCTGTTGTAGCATCGTATTATTCATGATACCAGAACTATCCCCAGGATGCATATTCTGACGATTCATCCATTGAGCTGGAGGGTGATTATTCAGAGGAAGAGCAGGTCGAAACTGAGACATGTTTCCAGCATGCTGCGTTGATC